GTGTGACGTGTTCTGAATTGACCAATCAGAATCGAGTATTCAACTAAACCATGTAATAATGTAAAATACTGTACAGTGACGAGCAGTGTTTAGTAGTGCAACAAAAAAACGTAGTGGCAGATACGTAATCACACGTTATTAAAGCAGAATTGTCTGACCTGAGTTTGTCGCGCTCCTCTCTTCCTGTGAACAGCGCCTGATGCTCGTTCTTTATTTCCTCGTTTCAGCTGCGAATGCGTTTCCTCGAGTTCCTCCAGCTGCTTCCTCAAACTCACGATCCTCTTCTGCTGCTTCGAATACTCCGTCTCTCCATCTTTACTCACACTGAGACTTAAATAATAATACATTTCATTTGAATAGCACACTTTAAAAACAACGTCATCTCAAGGTGCTTCACGATGCTATGAGGAGAAAATACAATAAAATAGAAAAGTTATCTAAGGAGCATATTGAATGAAATATGGTAATATATAAAAAGATAAGACCATAAAGGTTAGAATGAAAATAAAAATAAGGAGGGAGAAGATTATTCAGCTAAAGGTGAACGTCTCTCCCGCTAAGCTAAAGGAGGCTAATGTTGGGCTATAAAGGAACTACAGCACGGTCACATGACTTCACGTCACCACCGCTAAGCTAAAGGTGGCTAATGTTGGGCTATAAAGGAACTACAGCACGGTCACATGACTTCACGTCACCACCGCTAAGCTAAAGGTGGCTAATGTTGGGCTATAAAGGAACTACAGCACGGTCACATGACTTCACGTCACCACCGCTAAGCTAAAGGAGGCTAACGTTGGGCTATTTCCTTACCTTGTTCTCGTCTTGTTTATTTTCTCCTGAAGAAAGTTCTGCTCTCGCTCCGACTCTTTGAATTTGTTCAGAGCCCTAAAATAAACGATCTAAAAGGAAAGTATTATGTAACGTGAACTAATATTAACGATGCTCACTTGATACATCATATAATCTTATTTCCTGATCAGTACCTCCTGTTCATTGTGCTCTTTGCTGACGACCTTCAGCTGCTCCTTTAACCTCAGATGACCTTCAGAAAGAGCTTCCTGTTCCTGCGTCACACTTTCAATTCTGCTTCTAACGCCCCGCAGCTTCTGCTCTGCAGCTGTGAGCTTAGTCTGTGAGAAAGATAGGAACAACAGACATGCATGAGTGAATAAAGAGGTCTATTTATCTCATATCACATGTCTTCTGTCAGAAAGACATCCAGGAGTTTATTTTACCGTCTGTGTCTGCAGAATTCTCCTATTAGCATTAGCATCACATAACGCCTCATTTGCATGTTTAATCATAAGATGTCAGAAAACTTGTAATATAAGAAATAATTGTGTTAATGTCAGTAATCAAGTGGAGAAGTTTCATGGTGATATTTGGTAGTTAAATATTTTACCCCATTCACCTGCACCTGCATTTTACAATCCATATATTTGAAGGCACTTTCCTCCAAAATAGGTTTTTCTTTTGCATGTTCAAACCATGTTTTGTGACATCATTACAGTAAGACGAAATATTACCCGTTCTTTTCTGAATTTTATTATTTTTTGTAACTTTTTTCGTACAAATATTATAGATTTTTCCAAAAAAACTCAAATTGAATCAACTCGTTTAATCCTTTATTTTGTCCACATTTTTCAACTTTCTCTCTCTGATTTTTGTAACCTCCCGAAAAGTTGTTTCTCATCCTCTCTCAGCAGAAATCTCCAATAATTAATCCACTCTTTATCACTAAAAACATGTTGTATGGCAGTATATATGGAGCGATACAAAGACATATCTTGAATCCCCTCTGAACATGAAATCAAATGTTCATGTTTCTTTGACGGAAATCTATGCCGTTATTTAACAACATATCACATTTTGTAGGGTTTTAATAAATATAATCTGACCTGGCAGAGCTTGAGGTTCTCCTGATGTTTCTGATTACTCTCCTCTTTCTCCACGTCCTCCTTTAACCGCTGCACAAACTGCTCCTTATCTCGCACCTGACAGGAGGAAACACCGTTAACCACGCTTCCTTTGCTCCTCGGTGCACGATGTTTTGTTTCTGCAGCAGCTGCTTCCTCTCACCAGACTCCAGGCCATGTGCCTCTGGAGGCTCGGCAGCAGCTCCTTCATGTCGCTGAAGGAGTGCAGCGTCTCGAAGCGCTCCTTCTTCTGCAGGAAGTCCAGCTTCAGGTCCTTCAGAGCCTGAACACAGCAGCACGTTGCAGCTCAGCAGAAACAATATGCTGCACATGCCTCAGAGGTGGGAAGTAACTGAGTAGATTTACTTAGTACTTAAGTACAATTGTGAGGTACTTGTACTTTACTTGAGTATTTCCATGTAATGCTACCTTGTACTTCTACTCCGCTACATGTATTTAATACCTTTAGTTACTTTAATGATGTGAAATATAATCAAGACTTAAATCACAAGATCTGAGTACTTCTACTTTGACTCAAGTACAAGATCTGAGTACTTCTACTTTGACTCAAGTACAAGATCTGAGTACTTATACTTTGACTCAAGTACAAGATCTGAGTACTTCTACTTTTACTACAAGATCTGAGTACTTCTACTTTTACTCAAGTAAAAGATCTGAGTACTTCTACTTTTAATAAGAACAAATTGTAATTTTCTTCAGATTTTTCTCTAAA